TTACGGTATTGCGGTCCCGCAGCGAATTTCGCAGCCGCCCCTCAGATAATAAATAGCACCCTTGGATCCTACATTAACCACTAGCTTCCGCACCACAAGCACCCCTTTCCTCGTCAAAAGCCCCCCTTCGACGCGTCGTATATGTGACGGCTGAGAATTTGCGTATTAAAATGGGGTTATGCCGTGGCGGATTACTGAAAGAGTCGAGTGCCGTACGGTAATTTCGTTTCTGTTCAGCCTCCAACGTGCTTGTTTCCACCGACCGACCTGTTTCTAATCATATTTTGACAGCGAAAGACAGATTGTGCTCTAGGCCGCGTGAGCGAGCTGCTTTCAGAGTTCAACGACGTAACCGACGACTGGCGGTTACTTGTTGAGACGTGTTGACAACATTGCGCACTGATGGTACACGCGGCCCAGAACGCAACGTGTTCAGCATTGCCAGCACGTGGCCAGCGCTGCCGCCGATCGCTCGGTCGTTGAACTCTGAAAGCACCTAGTCGTGGGGGCGCTTGATTCATCTGTGGCCGTCAGTCGGTCGATGGAAACAGTGCACGTCGATGCAGTCTGTAACTACCCGGTCAGTCTTGAACTCTCCCTGTCACAGACATAAATACGTATTTGGCTTCTTAGGGGTAGCTGGTTTGAATAACAATTCTCCAATTACAGCTGGAGAGATTGGCACGTTTTCCAGATGTCCAAAGGTGGCTCTTGCATATCGATTCTGGTAAAATCAAGAGAAATCAGCGGTTCATACTCTTTCCACGGAGGCTACTTCTTCAGCCACGTCATATAAGATGGTGATGTCCTGATCGGCGTATTCGCATTGGATCGTCAGAAGCCACCCAGAAAAAATTCAGTCGCAATCAGACGAGTCGTCCATCACTTACGCTTGGTCAACTCTGGTCGAGTGTTGTGTTGCCCTCCTCAACCCCTTTGCTTACCTCCAACCATGGGGTCAACACTTTACACAGCGACGAGATAAACATCTCACAGAAGAAAATGATGTGAGAGCGGCTCTATCGGACATGAATATTGTTATATCCCACCGGATAAATATTTCTTATGCCGTTTTGGCTCGCTTTCTCATTCCACAGGAACCCCGTGCAGTCTAGAGCCGACCAGCGATCTAAAGCAGATCCGCAACACCACGACCTTTGTATAAATCGAACACCGATTTACTCAATAGAAGTTCTTGATGGAAGAGAGAGTTCTCCAGTAAGCATGTTTACTTGGACCGCCAAATTGTAGCGTCAGACTCCCCTGTCCACCGTGTGCGACTGTACGACGGTTACACCATTACCAAAAACGTCCTCTTCAAAGATTTCACTTATGCTTACATAAGGAACTTTGTGCAGTTCAATAGCAATAAGGTAGCCTTCTAGTGTGGAAGCCATGAAGCGGTACAAGCTAAGAGATCTGCAAATCCTATTTGAATGTGTCTGGTTGGGGCCCTGTGCTTCTTGGGAGACGTGCACGGTATCGATAGTAGCGCCCATGCCCTAATATCACGGAAAATGCATTCGAATCCTCTTGTAAAAGATGTGATAGGTTCAAAAGGGGAAGCATCTAAGTGCACTGTGATCAGGGGCATTGACTTTTCATTGATTGACATTGATTGGCATTGATTTCAGATTGTCTTTTTCTGATCAGTGATTTGGGTCCCTTTAATTTGCCTTTGAACTGCACCTTGAACTTTGATAAAGTAAAGTGATCGGAACAGGTGGTGCAGGAACGTTTCGGTTAGGAGTCTGAGCACTTTATCCAGCATCAACGGTTTTGATCAGGTAATTCAATCTCTCATCACTTCAAAAAATGATAGATGACCTAAGATATTCGAGAAGCAAAGGAAGGGCGCTAACTTTTCCCAGAGAGCTCGATATATCACGATGATGCATGATTCACAACGAAGCTTTCGACGGAATTTTTTTTGACAGACCGCTATCATGTACATCCCTTCTTGGTTTTATCGTGGTGTATGTCAATATAGCAGAGAAAAAAAAAACAGCTAAAGTATGATTAGTGAGATCATGAACAGAATGCAAGCTCTTTCATCTCTTTCATCCGCCCCTCACTGATTCCATATGTGCCGATGTCCGATCAAGAAACCTTCCGGATTGGGGCAGAATATGGGACCAAACATTGTATCGTATGAATGCCACACCCAAAGCGGACGAGTTTCAACGGCGTTTCAGAGATTGCAAAATCCGCAAGAGAACCCATGTAGAAAGTTTAAACAACTTGTCATCACTCAGGGCGTGAGTGGAAGGCAGTTTAGATAATATGGTCGTGTTGAGTCAGCTCTCTGTGTAATTGCAACAATTGAAATCTCGTCCGAATACACCTTCTTACCATATCCTTCATGGTAATCTTATACAACTCCATTTTTTACTACTTCTAGGAAGCCTTCTTGCTCACAAAGCTGGCGGATTTTCTCGCTTCTTTTTGCCACCGATGCACTACCCTCAACCAATACTTTCGAATTTCGACTTGAAACGGGTATCGCAGAAGTATCGTGAATTTTGCATTTAATTTTCAAATTAGTGTGGAAAGTTTTGAAATCGTAAATGGGAATAAGAAAAAACAGTGTTTAAACAAAGCCAACACCTTGGAAATTTATTTATTTTATATATAATACGTATAACAAACTATTGTTCGCAAAAATGACACGTCTTGGCACAGAGGTCTTTCACAGCTTCGCAGTTTCCTCTCTGATAAACTTCGTAACAACTCTGACTGTCCTATTGGTTTCTACGTTCCTGAAATCGATTACATCCCAGAAAACTAGTTACTCTTCAGATATGTGCATGTTATACTAAAGGCGTGGGACTGTGCTGCTTTCCTCTTGCCTGAGAAACCGTTTGACGTATTGGATACGAGATCGAATTGATAATGCTCTATCCAATGGCCTTGAAACGTACCTTATTGTTCCTAGTATTCTTTGGCTTTTCAGTTGTGCAGAACTCGCAAGTTTTGGCACAGATTGCTGCCGCAAAGAGAGTTGTACTGCCCATATGGCACTGTCCTCTGTTTTTTACTTGGCGACAGAGCTCTTCGATACCTTTGTCCTCACATGGCTGAAGTCAATGATATGCTAGAGAAAGGAAGTTGAATTCTCTTCAAATGGAAGCATTTTACGTTCGGATTCGCGATTCGATTAATTGTGCTCGACACTCACCTGTGCCCTGCTCTCCCTTGGTTCAGTTGTGAAGGCATTAAGCAGTAAAAGGACATGAACAAAACGGAGGATCATAATGAAATCGGACGAAAGGATATTCAGCATTTAGTGCACCATTTATATAGTGCAATTTCCGTTGGAAATGAGGTCGTCTGAGCATTGCACTCATTGTTGCAGGTGTTTCAACTGCAGGTGGGCGGGGTTCTCTCGCAGATGTTAGGGAATCGGCATCATGATCTTATGTAGAAATTTTACCGCCCCAAATAGTTCTTACTCCTTGATCCTTATCTTCGTTTGCTCAAGACGTAGAGATAGCATAAGTATTTGAAAGAGTGTTTGGAAGAATTGCTTATTGTGAACGTCAGAATTCTCGGGCCTTGCATGAGCAATGCATGAGCAACTGCACACTACTTCCACAACAGCAAGTGCATGTTTTGTTTGACAACACCTACTCTTTTGTACATAATAGCCAAGTGGGAATGGTTTTCGTAGAAGTGAATTTAGCTTACAATCGGGGATTGGAGGGAGCGTTTAGATTTTGAGCATACTTTGACTTTTTCATTGAACCACATCGCTATGTATCCTGAACTGTCAATACGATCCCCTCAACAGAAATATGATTGTTCCTGAGTGAGCCCTCCAAGTACATGTTGTGAAGGTGAAAAATCCTATACGGATCCACTGAAATCATCGTAAGTCTATAACAAGTGATCACTCTCAATGATAATAAATGGTAAACTACTCTGAGTGGAGTCCTACATCGTCCAGTAAAGCAAACGTTAACGGGTGAAAGAAAAGCAACTTTGTTTGCGGTGATAAACATGCCACTCTTGAGTACTTGAGAATGATCTTTTTATCTAATTTACCGTTGTTCGTGGTTTCGCTTTCGCTGGTATATTTTTGATTTCGTGGGCGATTCCTTAATCGAAGTTACAACTAGGATCGAGGTAAATTTGCAGTCAGCTTAGGTCACGGTCGGCTTTGAAAGTATGCAGTTAGCGAAAAAGAGCCTGCAGAGAGATGCAACAGTGTGTCAGAGATTTTTTGAAAACTCATCACATTCGCCAAGAACACCAGTGCTGATTTCAAGCAGCCTTTCAAAAGCCGGGGCTTATGGTCTTGGGAAACTTACTGGATAGTATTAATGCTTTAGATCCTTATCTATTCATTCACCACTGTTGTCATCGCCAAATCTTTCAAATCAACCCTCAGTGTGGCGCATAAAGGAGATGATAAAACGAGAAAGGAAGACCTACAGTATCTGTTGTTTATCCAAATTTTTTCTGAATTGAGCAAGTGTCCTTCACTATGACTTGGAGTTACTGTAATGGTTATAGCGTAGCGCAATTTCTACATGAAATGGCAATTGACGATCATTTTTCTGAATATTTGCCGAGGATAAGCCCACATACGAAAGTAAATACATCTACAGCTCTGAAAACAGTGATTTTCGTCCATATAGAAGATAGTCATGGAATCATAAAACGGCAACCTTTCATCTCATCAGTGGAGCTAAAAACGCAAGAATTTAAAGCTCGAATTCGATACGTTAGAGACCTTCTCAGGAAGAATGTTGCAGCCCGACTCTGCTTCTCGAAACTTCAAACACAGGCCATCTAGACGGAAGCAAAAAGGGTAGCTCTGTATTCGACAGCTGGTATTTAGAGCGCGCTTGCAGCTTCAAAAGACATGGTTAACTAACTATGTAGCTGATAGTTAGTAAAAACTACATCATATAAAATTGATATATAGGTGTCCGTAGGTCGACCATTTACAACGCGTTAAAATAGGAGTGAAATAGCAATTACAAAACTTCATTGCTAAGCCGGAAATGTCATGGATGTATGTATACCCACCTGTGCGACCACGTGACCTACTCGCCTGGTTGTTGTTCCCATCGAATTTATAGTGGACTATACATATTTTATTTGACTGAAGATCACCAGATCCCTTCACTCCGTCACCTTTTTATACTCACAAATACAAACTGAAAACTCTCCTTATCTGTAAAGCTGTAGCTCGTAAAATGGCTATCTCCGATGGTGGTTGAAAAATGTAGTCGAAAAATTAAAGCGTAGCTTCCCAAGGTTGGCGGTTACGAAAGTGTAATCCTACCAAATTTCAACGCTCTAGTTCCACGTAAACAGGAGTATGAATTTGAAGCGAAAAACTTCTATTACGCACGCCTCGCCCCCTGTGTGGCTCTGTCATCCATAATAAGTATTCCTATCCTGCACCGTACTCCTACCAAGTTTGAAAGGACTCGGTCCACGGGGAACAGGATTTATAAACTCGCGGCTAAAAATTTTTATCGCGCACGCCCCGCCCCGTGCAAAGAATCCGGTCCCGCCACCCACCAAAAGTTTCTTCATCCTACTGCCTGTACTCCTACAAAATTTACACGCTCTAGACCCACGGGGACGGGAGTTATGAATTTCCGGTCATATACACACACCGACACACGCACCCATACACACAAACACATAATTCTCACACAAATTCAGCTACTCATGCATTCAAAATAGCTCATATTCTTGTCAACGTATTATATGTGAAGTAAACTATGAAATTGTCTAAAACAGGTGATCCAGTTTCATTCAGACCATTATTACCTGTTAAAGAATTAGGAAAGGTCCTGTCATAGAAGGAGCTGGTACAAAATTGTGATATGTAAAGCTTGGTTCACCTAAAAACACCTTATAACTTCAGAATCTTTCTCGCCTCGTTCCCGAAAGTCAACACCTGTCGGGTAGTTCG